GATATGGTAAAAAAAACTGAACGTCTATCTATATATACAATATATATGGACTAAAAAGTAAAAGAAATCTACTTTTAAAAATTATTCTGTATGAAAACCCTAATATTTTAAGATATTCATTTTTCCCAATAATCAAAATGACTCATGTCCAACTTTATTATTATACTGAAAGGAAAAAGAAACGCAGGGTAGCATAATGTTCGAAAAATAATTGACCACATGACCGAAAATTACCAAAATTGGTCAGAAGAGAAATTTAGTTACTGTGCACCTATATCAGTGTACAGAATTACTCAACCGTAAAATTTATGACGTCACGTAGGGAAAACGCTAAGAAGCCCAAAACACGTGCATTTTTTTAACGACGAGTTTGTCAACAAATCTTGTTGCACCATTTGATGCACCTGAGGTATGCACATTGTTTTTCAATATTTAGAGACGTTATGAATTTCTTGCAATCTTGGTACAGTTTGCGAAAGTTCCATGGGGTCTGGTTTTTGAATTGCCTAATTAATGAAGAAGGCAACAACGGGTATCTAAGCAGTTTCTTCTAAATTTTCCCACATAAAACTTATTACCCGTTGTCAGAGAGGGCCTGGAATGGTTTCAATCAACCGTGACGATGACGTAAATGTGAAACAGAGCCATGTTACGAGCGGGTTATTTGTCCTGCCATCTCTTTTATCGCCACCGTAATACCACAAAAACAGCCATTTATACAGTAGATGATTATAATCATTACATTCAAACAAAATTTGAAAGAAAACGATTCCTCAATTTGATTGTTTGAGCAAGTCAACTTATTGTTTTATTCCTCTCACTGGCGCATGCGCGCGCAGTTTGACTAATTTTTTGCGTGGTTACCCATGCCAAATATAGCCCGGGTCTGAAAAATTAACACCCTAATGAAATTCCATGCAAAGGAAAAATAAGGCTCTGACAGATGCACGGGAGAGACATTAAAGATAATAAGAACTTTCGATTTTCACTTTTGGGGGGTATCGTCATTTGAGCTTCAGTAACTCATGAATTATCAGACAAAATCAAATGGGAATTTGGTTATATCTTTTTGAAAGATGATTTTAATAGTTAGATATAAAAAATAAAACATATTTTACGAAAAACAAATTTAATTCACCTTAAAAGTTTACCCTGCGTTTCTTTTTCCTTTCAGTATATTTACAATCATTGTAAACGAAATCCATCTTGTAAAAACATAAACAGCTAAGTAAGACTCATTAAAAAGAGAAATATACAGTATATTTAGTAAAAACATTCGACATATATGTATAGTATTTTCAACATTTAACTTAAGTTCTACTAATAGAAAAATCGATGTTGCAAGAATTTAACAATCCCTATTTAAAGGCATCTCTATATCCTTCTTCGTTAATCTTTCGTACACATAATGCCCTATTAGCAAACATCACCTATCCTTTTTTGTTTTGGCGGACTTGTTTACCAATCGTTAGTTCTTTGTTTTTCTACTGAATTCGAATGAGTAGTTTTCCGCCCACCTGACCAATAATAAAGGATCACGTGACCGGGGATGTTTACTTCATCCAATCACCTGACCCTATATTTCTGGAATTTCCGGTGTTCTTTTTTAATGCCCATGTCACAAACTTATATTGTCTATATTTCTTTAATTAGCATCGATCACTATTTTTTTGTAATTATCTTCACCCTCATCCTTGTAAGACGATTTTGTCTGCCATGTTTTTTTTTTATTTTGACGTTTTATATTGGGGTCCCCATATAACCCAGTCATATTTCAAACAGGATAACCATGCATTTTACGCCTGTGTGGATAGACGTTTGCTTCATAGTTATAGTTGTACATGTATAGCACTAGGTTACTATAAAAGAAACTATGTGTGTTATCCATGACAGGAGAGAGAGAGTGATACTAAAGAAAATTACAACTGCTACAGTAGCACAGGTCAACACTCTATTTAAATTAACACAAACACACGTTAACTGCAAAACAGATAAAAACAAAGGTATTGTAAGATGAAGAGACATACAAATATGAATACACATACACGTGCGGTGTAGTATATATAGCTAGCTATAAGTATGACAAAATTTCAGAAACGTGTCACAAATGCGAAGGGTATACCCCAGTGTTATCATCAGCTATAAATGCCGTATGCCTATTTAGGAGCCGTGTTTAAATTCAGGATCCATTCCATTGTTCGTATTGTGAATATCAATATTTTAAAGTCTATCGGCTACCTCAACTGCTAACACTTTTTATTTATGTAATTGGACATGTGGGAATTCTGTTGAAATAGATAGTAATTATATCAACCTCGTTGACCATCTATGACAAAAAAATAGTGCAGTTGCTTACATATAGTTGTTTAAATATATTGAACTTGATCAATTCTATTGACGTAATACAATGTTAAAATAAAATGTTCTTCTTGCTTTTTTTTTAAATCCTTAATCAAATTTTTGATAAATCTTGTCTGCATGATATTTATTCCATTTTATAGAAATAAAGACTTAGCCTAATCAAATTTTTGATAAATCTTGTCTGCATGATATTTATTCCATTTTATAGAAATAAAGACTTAGCCTTTACACTTTTTAGGTAATGTTTTTAGTTTATTGAATGTGGTATTGATTTTTTTGTTATATATAATTTAATCAAGTCAATTATATAATACGGTACAATTTATTAATTTATTATTATTTGGTTTAAAAAAAAAAGACATCAATTAAGGTAGGACACAAAATCTAAATTTTCCCTCAAATTCATTTTTTTTCCTAACACTTTGATATCTTCTCTTTGGATACAAAATCTCTCTTTAAATATAATATAGAAGAAATTCAACCACAATCTTTTTGTCCACATAGTTTGAAATATTGCCTATCAGACCTCTGAAAGAAGTTTGTGAAATTCGACATTTGCTTTGAGAATGAACTTTTAGAACATCATTAATTTATCTAGTGCAAATTTATGTTTTGTTACTTAAACCCAGTAAGTTATACTGATACTGGAAATGTTGAGTAGCATTAAAAAGTATTCACATATTAATATATTACACTTTTCTTACGAGAAAGTGTATTATTCAATGTTTACAAAAATTCAACAAAATGACTCAAATGGGTACTAGAATGAAATATAGGCCTGTAAAAAAGAAGAAAATCGAACCAACAATTTCAAATATTTTGGCGATTAAAAATTTCAATGATAAAAAGCTCAAAGATTCAATAGATGACGTCACAATATTTGACTTTTGGCCTCTTGATATGACCTTGACCATTAAAGTACATACAAAATTAAAACTATTTATATATTCTTACATTTTTTAAAAATATAATACAGAAAAACAGTTTGGTATGGTATGGGACTTCTGTATATGAAAAATCGTGCCTAGGTTATAGAACGAATTAACTTGGTATGGTGCTTCTATACATGAAACATAACACACTTTATAACACATAATAAATGCAAATATACAGGTATAAAGATCGGACATACGAAGAATGAATCGCAACATCTTTTCTGTTCTTAACCTAAAAGCTAAATGCAAAAAAATTACAGAAATCAAAAAGCTAAGAAAAGTTTTGTACACTCAATAATTGGACTAGTTTGAAAGTTGATGGTTTTTTCCTGTAATAACTTTTAATTTATTTACTTTTCGAGTCCTTGTACAGGGGACAAATTAAAACAAAATGAAATTCATCTTCTTTAATGATTTTAACAAATTTCCTTTACAATATTTCTATGCCGGTCAGTTTCAATTGCAAGGTTATGGGAAGACATTCTTATTTTACTTATTTGTTTTTTATAAAGAGGAGGTATTATCTTTCTTAAGTAATATTGCAAGGTTAAATAATCTTCAATGTGTCTGTAAAAAAATTGTTGAACAATTAATTTCTGCCATAAGATTTTGTTTGAATCCTTGGGTGTTTTTTACTTCCTTCATGCAGTATTTGCTAACGCTATAAATCAAACAATCAAGCGTTAATTGGTTGATGCAGATTCCCTGACAGTATATAAGGAACTTGATCATCAACCTGTTTTCAGAGTCCACAATCAACATGGGTAAACTCTTGGTTGTAGTGGCCGTTCTCTGCCTGTTTGCGGTGGCATACGGTAAGTGTACTTTATATGTTATATTCTGTATAAGATATGGAGATAATGAATAGTAGTCCGGCTAAAGGTCCATTTAAGGTATGTCACTCGCCAGCTTTTTAGTAAATTACAGGCAGAACCTCTTATTTCAGAATTATTTATTATAATGCAATTTTTATAACACATACAAATTAAACAATGTTTATAGTTTAATATCAAATTAACCACACTGCTCAACAATTCATAAAAATTTTTGAAGGAATACTTCTTGAGGTAGAAGGATATTTCCTTTATTAGAAAATTCTGTAAATCTGCATATTTATCAAATTTAATATCTTAAAATTTAAGCCTCGCATACTTTTACTCACTGAAAATTGCTCTTATGATATTATAGGAATATTTAATATTTTTACGACAAAATGTACTCTTTTCCTCGACAGACTTTGTCGAAAAATGAAAATATATTTAAAATTTAAAACAAATTAAATAAAAATTTAAGATTCACACCGTTTTTGCTGGAAAATCGCACATTTTGACCATTATTTAAAAATTTACATCACTATACCCATCATTTTCAACTGCTCGATACTTGTGACTAACTTCACTAAGTCGTAAAAAAGATGTAAGAAAATATTTTATTGCCTCTTTACTCTTTAGTGCAAAAAGATCACATAATAATTTACATGCATTAATTTGAAATATCTGTTCAATTATTAATATTAGTCAAAGTAATTTACGAAAAGTAAGAGTATATTTATTGCCATGGTTACATCAAATAAAACATGAAAAAGGTTAAAGTGATTATGCAAGGAGTTAAAATTTAAGTGCAAAAACGTCAATGTAATCGTACCTTAACTCATTAAGATGCACACTGATCCCCTATTTTCTCTGTCATTTTTAGTCACACAATATGAGTACTTTTATGTATATTTGTTATCAAGTGATACTTTTTATCTTTTAATCAATGATATATTTAAAAACCGTAAACGATTAAATTTTATAAACCAAAGGAAACACGGATTTCCACAAACATTGACTGTATTTGCTGAAAAAGCTATTGCTTAGACCAAAGAACTTGCAAAATAATGACTTCAAACGAGACTGTTGATATCTTTTGTTTTATAGGGGTCTTGTCTTAACATTTGGACAAAAATTAATAAACAGGAAAACAAATGTTAATGATAATCCAATCAACTGGGGGACATGAACCCCATATATAAATTATAGTGGTTTATTGTTCATATCTCTCTCGTTTATATATTATGTTTCTTGTTATGACAATTTTCTTTCGAGTGACTATACGATGAATTTATGAATTTCTCTTACGTATTTCCAAAATGATTATAAAATTGTACAGTTTTGTTTGTTAACAAAAATGTTGAATGACAAGCTTCAATTTTAAAACTGATATGTCTATTTTATTCTATAACTAGTAATTTCATGTACAGACTTCATTTTATGATACAAATTTTCTAGTTAACAATAAATTACAATTATGAAATACATCTGATGTTTCAGAGGTCCGTGATTACTTTGCTCTGTATTACGTTATGGACTTTGATATTGAATACTGTTCGCTATCTCCATATTCTTCTTATTGTAACATTTTTCTGTGTACTGCCAATTTCAAATATAAAAACGAGTATAAGTAACTTTGAAAATATGATAAACTAACTCTCCAGTTGTAACTGGTTTATAAAGATTTTTACCACAGGTTACAAAATATCCACAATTAACGTGATTTATAATTTTTTTTTTATTTTGGAGGATCTGGAGGACGTGGAGGATATGGAGGTTATGGCGGATATGGAGGAGGATGGGGAGGATTGGGAGGAGTAATAGGTGGAGGTTATGGCGGATATGGAGGATATGGAGGTTATGGAGGATATGGAGGATATGGAGGAGGATGGGGAGGATTAAGTGGAGGAGGATGGGGAGGATTAAGTGGAGGATATGGAGGAGGATTGGTAGTATTAAGTGGAGGAAAAGGAGGAGGATGGGGAGGATTTGGTGGAGGTGGCTTAGGGAAAGGATACTGAAGAGGTCCCGGGGAGAAGACTACATAGAAGAATTCGGACGAACAGGATACAGTTAGCACCGCTCAGTCAGCTGTAATTTATTTAGCTTTATTAAATCTTGCAACATACTTCAAGTTGTTAGTTTTTTTTAATAGAAGAATACATGTAACCTTTTGGGTCATGATATAAACATGAATGGTGTTATTTAAATGCAATTCTCGTAATATATTTAAGAGAGGTAATTCTTGAAAAATATTTGGAAATCCCTTATATATCTTTTCATACCAATTTAAAACTAATTGAAACTGTCATACTTCATCTACTTTGAATTATCTGTAATCGCAAAGCTTTTCAATATTAAAAAATCCCTTTACCACTATCTACTACGCCATCCCAGCATCGAGGGGGGGGGGGCATTTTATTTCTACTCGTATATATATTTGTTTTCGAAAAATAAAGATCTTCATCCTATCTGAAATATGTTGTGCACATGAAAAAGACCTGTGTTCCAGGTCCACAACTTATTTGTTAAATATCTATATATATCAGATTCATCCTCATTCAGTGTAATAAAAAATAGATACACTATATCCTGGTGAGTTTGAGATTAAAGATAATACAAAGTTTGACACATCTGTTTCATATTTAGATATTTTACTTGAAAAAGACGTCAATGGTAATCTAACAACCAATACGTAATGACTTTTACTTTTCCATTGTTAACTTCCCTTACTTATGCAGTAATATACCTCCATCACCAGAATACGTAGTTTATGTGTATCAGTTGATTTGAATCGCAAGAGCATGCTCTACGTACGAACAATTTCTAAAACCAGTCAAATTATTGACAAATATACATATTTGTGGTATCACTCCATTATATAAAGATACAGAGAACAAATATTTTCAATTCTGTCTGAAGTTTGTCAAAGGTCATAGGTCAATACGTGACCTAATCACAAGGCGCAATAATATCTACCGGTACATGTACATAAATTATAAAATGGCTTGCTTTTCATGTATAAAAATGAACAATATAAGCAAGTAAAGTAATAATTATTTTATTTACAATGTAAACAAGTATTTCATACAGTTTTTTGGGGTATCGATTCAATCTGTGTACATAGAGAATATAAAAGAATCGGATATAAACTAGATTTTGTTTTAAAAGTTTACGTTTTTTCACTTTTTTCCGCTGCACAGTCTCTAATGTTCATCCTTTTTGGGGGGTAGACCTTTATTTAACTGGTTAAATTTTCATGATGAACTATTATTTTTTCATTAAATTCTACTCACGAATAATCTGTAAATCTGTTGGAAAATATTGCAATCACGTCGTGAAGAGCTGACAAACACAGCGGTGTTGTCGTAGTTCAATGTAAGCTGTCGCCAGAGTCTCCGTGTTTGCAAGTGTTTACAAGATAAAAATGTCTATAGTTACTGAATGATCGCAGATTGAATGATTTTGATCAAATTTTTATACTTGATAATGTTGATTGCAAATCCATTGAATCCATCCATCCCTTTCCGGCGACCGAAATTCCTCCAACTTTTTATCATCGAATTTTGGACGTGTTTCTTGTTTCAGAATAATTATCAATTTTCACGAATAAAAATATTCCCAGACAACAATCTTTTCACTATAACTGATCATAGGTAGCCTTTCACAAAATATTCCCTTCGAAATTGACTCCTTAGCCTAGGGAATTCGAAGCGTAAACGCCTTTCAAGCCGATTTACATCTTGCGTGCTTTTGTCGGAATTCTACGGCGACCGGTTAGTGTAATTTTTTTATCCGAATATATTTAATTGTTCATCTCAAATGTATATATAAGTAATAAATAACAAATTGATAAACTTCAGTGGGACTTGAAGTGGGTCGGTACGTGATCAAATCTTCTGAGAAGGCCTTCGGCCGTCACAGGATTTGATCACGTGACCGACCAAATTCAATTCCCATTGAACTTTATAAACTTGAAAAAAGCATGCGTCACGGAGCATGGTACTTTTTTTGAACGTTCATATTACATAGACGTTTTAATGAAATTAAAAAATGCACAGTTGTAGCGCAAAAAGAATAATGAAATTTTACCTGCCGCAACAGTATTCATGAAACGTCACTTGGTGAAATTTTGAATTGAATTGGATGATGTATGAATGTTTAATAGCCATTTACGTATATAAAAGAACGTCATGGAGCACCGAGCTACTAATATTTATGGTTGTAGACAGGAAAATGTCAAAAAATAAACTAAAATGCTTCTGTATGCTGCTAGAAATACGTAAAAAAGACAATAATATTCTATTGGTTGTAGCTTAATTCATGAGAATGGAAGGATTAACTTTTTTATTATCAACTTTCTTGCGATACCTCAGTAACCCCATTTATCGCATGGAAGTTGCATCGCGGGATTTTGCATTGTTTACAAACCTGATCATGATTACATAAGTCCACAGACAATCATTTAAAGATATCTAAGATATCCATACAAGAATTAAGAGATTATAAAAGAAAAGTAACATGTCTCGATATTGATATTTAATTTTTAAGTAGAAAAAAGACAAGACAAGTCAAAGAATTTAAGATTTTTAGAACTAATAAAAATCTAAACCGGGTTTTGAAATCTGGTTGTCACGTCTCACGTCAAGTGATTGCTCCGTGAATCCTGTGACCGTATAGTGAAATCTTTGTTTATTTTCAAAGTCTTAGTGAATGGACATTATTTTTTACATACTAAGAAACAAAACATAGGAATTTAATTAGACATAGGTTACACTTCACAGTACACAATAGATTTTCCGTAAATCAATGTGTCCGCGAATTTTTCTAACAACCCTCGTACACGCAATATTAACATTACATATGTTTTTTTGCAAATAAAGTGAATTGAAATATTTGCGTTCAAAACACCATAACACAGACAGAGTGCCAAGAAGTTAAAGCATATGCTTTAGTTTGACATCATAATCGTTGAACGCCGAGAAAGTATGACGTCACAAGCGAAAATAAAAAAAAAATCATGCATGCTCAATTTGACCAGAAGCTGTTACGTTGGCTGATCCATTAACTGTAGCTTACACGAAGGATAATGTTCAAAGGTTTTTAAATAGACGTCACATTTGCAGTTCAGGTAGAAAGTTAAAAATGTAAATATAAGCAATGAATAATTTATTTCTGAAAGATATAGTCTAATAACTGCAGTAAGTACAAACAAATTTTCATAACTCGCTAACGCACGTTACTCAAATTGTTCGCATAAACTGTTGCAGTTATGCGTCTAAATCTTTCAAAAAATAATGATTCATTGCTTAAAATGGATTTAAAAAAACGGTTGGATTGAACACAGCCAAATACACAAAATTTGATGGAAGGACATGCAGAAGAATGGATGGACAGAAGGACAGAAGTATAGAAGAATGGATGACGGACATGACAAACATCATTAAAAACAACTGGTCACATTCATAGTGGGGCTTCAAAGTTGGAAAGATACCAAAGGAGCACAATTAGTACCATCAAAATTATAACAATTCTTTTGAGGACTCAAGCATCCTTTGACTTATAAAAACGAGATTTTCCATTGGTACCTTATGCTCCCCGTAATTACCAGACCTATTTTTATATTTTTATTATGTAATATTTGTCAATTTAACGTGAAAAGAAGGAAAAAAATTAACAATGGTTATTTCTCTTCTGTTATCGATATGATATATCCCGTTGAGCTTGAAATAAAACACACCACAGATTCTGACACATGTTTCATATTTAGATACTCGTATATTACTCGGAAGAAGTAAATGGTAATATTACAACCAAGCCCCGTATGCAATGGTTTATTACTCTAAGATGATTCGATACACAAGAGCGTGTTTTCAGAATGAGCAATTTTCAAAACAAGGATGTTATATGTTATTGACAAACATTGCTGAAACGAGAATATCTGCAGTCTCGTATAAAGTAATCATTTAGGAAGTTCTATGGTCGATACAATGACCTTGACAGCACCTACAATTTATCATAAAGTCAAACACCACAGACGTTTATCAAACCAATTGTTAGGCAATTATATACAAACTGAATTGTCTGTGGATTTTTTTCTGTTATTTCCTGATCATGACAAGGACCACTCGGCAGGTGTGACCGTTTGGCGGAGGATCCTAATCCTCCATGGCACCTGATCCCATCTCTGAATTTTTAAGTCCGTGTTTGCTCTTCTCCTCTTTTGTGTTGTTTAATGGACATTTGAGCTGTTCGTTATCTCCATATATTTCACCAAATTTCTAATCATGTCATTTGAAGTTTTTTCCTATATGTTTGGTATAATGACCCGCCCTACCCTTGATGAGTATGACTTAAAAAACTTAAATCTTCACTACTATTCCGAAATATTTTACGTTTTCCAGACTTTCGTATGATTTTGATATTTCATGAGACAGGAAAACGTCAGAACCGGTGCCATTTTGAAAGCTGGGTAATCTTGATTTTGATTGATATTTTTAACGTCCCCCTCGAAACATTTTCACTCATATAGAGACGCAATTACATGTCGGTAGAGAGCTGCAAATGTTGTCCTATACTCAACACTTACGGCCATTGAGCGTTTTTTTTTTCGTGCTAGCACCTACGGTGACACGTGACCTGAATGGAGAATGCTAACATACATGTATTTCTTTGACATTTTGTGGCTTTTTTCCTGCGTACAAATATAAATTTTCCTTTCTGCCCCAAACTACAACCAGAGGTTACGATTTGAACAAAGATGAATCTATACTACCAGAGGGTGCTTTCTTACAAGTATATCCAATCATGTCTTTGTTGTTCTTGAGAAGAAGATTGTTCTTATATATTCCAATGTAAAACTTTGACCGTCCATTGTGCCCCAATCCTACCCCAGCCTTGATTTGAATTAACCTGAATCTACACTACCTCGAGATGCTACCCTATCGATATGACCACCATGGCTTTGTTGTTCTTGAGAAGATTTTTAAGACTTTTTCTATATATTCCTATGTTAAAATTTGATCGTCCAATGTGACCCCACCGTACTCCAGGGGGTCATGATTTGAACAAACTTCAACATTACCTGAAGATGCTTCCATCTTAGTTTCATCTTTGCTGACCCAGTGGATCCTGAAAGAAGATTTTAAATTATTCTACCAAAAATTCACATTTTCTTAATTATCTCCCCTTGGAAGAGGGCATGGCCCTTTATTTGAATAAACTTGATTCCCTTTCAACCAAGGATTTTTGCGGCAAGTTTGGTTAAAATTGGTTGAGTGGTTCTTAAGTGAATTCGAAAATGTGAAAAGTTTACGAATAGACGGGTGGACGGATAGACTACAGACAAAATGTGATCAGAATTTTTTTCTTCATTAATATTTATAAAACAAAAACAACAGATTTGTTACAATGCACATAAATAATTGTTACTTTAAATATATAAATAAGAATAATCATTTTAAAAATCGAAAAAAAGTTGTGCAAAACATATTCGAAAATTAATGTGGGCGATGGAAGTGAACTATATTTCTTTACGGAAAATAACTCAAGTGAAATTTAAAATAGAGAATGCATCAAATTAAGAAAGTCATATTACCTTTGGTACTCCTTCTTGCCATATTTTTTTCCTGATTTATCACAGTCATTAACTCAACTAAATTTTAAGCCAACTTTGAAACTTTTTGAAAACATTTAATTCTTAGGGCACAAAATGCTAAGACCGTGTATTCTTACTAGTTGGAAGTCGTTAACACGAAATGCAGGTGATCTTTTTAGGATCCTCCATTTTTCAGATCGGATATGATATGATTTGACATGATTTTTATCAATTTTTAAACAAGTTGTGTCTTCGACTCATGGCAAATCATATCTTATAATAAACAATTGTTTCATAAAAGTCCAAAATATTTTACTTGATCAAATTCACATAAAAAAACTATATTCATAACGGTGAATATACATGTAAGACAATATCCTATATTCAGTATACAAGAGTAAAACTGTGATAAAACTACATATTAAAGTAATTTTCATTATCGCTTTTGAGGAAATCCTTCGACTGTATATATCTATATACACACATTGTGTTGTCCTACCACGACCCGACCCAGAGAAGGTGACTTTTATCATCAAAGCATAACTCTCCTGGTCTGTTTATCCCATTTTTTCTGTCAATAGCAGTTACAGAAAGCAGCCATCTAAATGTCAATCATCTGTATGATTTTGGAGTATCCATCACACACCAGGATGTTCGACATCGCGTCTGTACAGATTCCACTCGATACGAAGAATCCTGGATTTGATGGGGACCCTTTGTAAGAGAAGCGATATCGTCCTTCACTGACTTTCACAATTAGTGTATGACGGAACATGTCGGATACAATAACACCTCCATTCCGGTTTTCCGTGGTGTATATGGGGTCGCTATACAGGTCCTCACAATTGTCATTGTGCTGAATAATTTGGAGATGTTGTCCTTCGCTGTCGGGTTACATTTGCCTCTGAATACCTCTGTTTGATTTTGTTATACCAAATCGCCCCCACAAAAAGATCACCGTTAGATGGGGAGCAGAAAACACAACGGGGAGTCCATGGCTCTTTCATCTTCATTAATGGAGTCTTTGTTTTGTTCTTTGCAGACAGTACAAATACATTTGAATTTTTATCTATATAAGTTAGATCACCGTCTCTTGTCACTGTGTGAATGCCATACGGACTGGATATATCTTTTAGCAGAGAAAGGGATTCTCCTGTTGTATTGATTAAGATAAGATTGTTATTATCATTGACCCACGCCTGGTCTGGCAAGGCACAGGAAATGTGACTTATACCACCTCTAATGTCGCTCACAGTAAACAATTTCTGTAAAACAGGGCTAGACATCACTTCAAACAATTCCTCCTTCTCTTCTTTTCTTTTTCGAGTTTCATGGACCTGAATCTTTCCAATCAACACTGCAATATGCTGAATGTTAATTTCGTCGAAAAGGGATAGCACTAATGTACCGGGAATGCTTTTCAACTTGGGAGAAGGGACTTTCTTTATGAAGAAGAGAAATTGAACTGGCCTGTTACCTAGCTCTTCATATCTTTGTAAATATTTATGTATGTTTGTAACATTCTGTACTTGTTGCAATTGCGAGTCAAAATAAAGATTTGAGCCACTTATGTCTTTAAAAAATGAATATGCATCCACATGATTCTTCAGACTCTGGACCTTATAATCCATCTGCAACTGAAGGTTGCGTATTTTTGAGTGACATCTTTTAAAATCGGACTTAATTTGTGTCAGGAGAGCATGATTGTATGGAATAATCTCGCTGCTAATGTGAATAATTCTGTCTCGGTGTTGTTGTTTGTAGGTTTTGAAAGTCTTCACAAAGTCCACTTTTTCATGACTCCGGTGAACACTACATTTGAAACAGATTGGACACTGACATGTCCGACACCAGTATCTATATTTCTTGCTTGGATGCCTATAACAACACTCAGGTATCATATGGTCGCCATATTTTAAGCCGCCAATCGCTACATCGTGAAGATTGGTGTCTAGGTTTTTCATATGCTTCTCCTTGCAAGAAGAACAGAGGTATTCACTTCAGGTTTGGCAATAGAATTCCGAGTGTTCCAAACATTGAGAACACCTTGATGTTGTGAGGCATGCTCCCATGATGCTGTTCTTGAATGTGCAATTTATTCTCTTCTTCTAATTCATACGTTTTTGATTGTCTTGAGATGCTTAGTAAATCTAGAAATACAAATGCTTATGGTCTATTTTTGAGCACATTTTCAAAATCTCAGGAAAATTCTAATTTGTAAAAATAGAACAAAATTTTGGCTCATTGAAGTTTCATTTGAAGTAGATATATTCAGTAAATATGATACCGATGAAATAATAATGTAACTGTAGGTATTTGCAATCCAAAACAAAATAAATGTAACTGACATTAAACTTCAAATCATTTTGAACAGTATGTATTCATTAAGTGTCTGTATTATTTCTCTTTTATTTCTTAATTAACATTTGAAATAATTTTTTTTCTTTATTTGGTGTTAACATTTTGTCATATCCTTATTTATAGCCCAGATACAGTAATATACTCAACAAAAAAAAAAGAAACGCATAATTTTAACTCATCAAAGAAATTTTGAAAAAGTATATGGAACAAACTTTTTCAAATCATTTTAAAGTACACCAGTACTTATTTCCCTTGATTAATAATGTTTATGAAAATAGTGTTTTGCATGATTTCTTGTAAATCGGGGTTCTATTTTGTGAAATTATTTCTCTTTTATATTTTTGCTTTGATTAATTTACATTTGAAATAATTTTTTTTTGCATTTTACATTTCACAGCAGTGTTACATCAACACTCGGAACTGCTGTACAAACTGCTGAAATCAGCATAAAATGCACATATCCTTATTTATATTGGAAATCCACTAGCGCTGAGAGGTCGCAAAGGAATATATGGTAATGTGGAGGCGATGTCAATGACATCAACATAACTTGTCAATTTGGAACATTGGACTTATTTGATTTTTATCACAACACATTCTAAAATCACTTTTAAAAATTAAGGTTTAAACTGAAAACTTAGATTATCATGTTTAATCTGAATATGCGTTTCTTTTTTTGTTGAGTATATATGTAATGTGGAATCTCAAATTTTCGTAGCGCTTAATTTTCTTAGTTTTCGGTGTATGAAAAGACCCTCACATGTATGTCTATCGCCAAAAAGTAATTTGTCACATATATTACTTCTCAACTTTTTTGGACCAAAGAAGGAAATCATTGCTTAATATATTAAAATATTTAGATTATTATCAATTTCATCAAAACGCTGAAAAGGTATTATACTTATTCGGTATAAAGGTGAAACGTATAAAATGTTAATGAAGTTTCAATAATGTCCAACTATAACAATTTCGACAATCACATTGTAAGTACACTTTAGATACGTACACAAAGAATGAACTCTGAAAGATACTTCCTGTTAATCCTATGGAATGAAAAAAAACATTATCATAAACATAACATCAGAGATAAACTCCTCTTGTAATGTTACCCTCATGTATCCACACTTGAGTCATCAGGCATTTGTAGTACGTTCATCTTTCAAATTCACATAAGTCTGTTGCTATGTTAACAAATCAAAATAAATGCGAGCTAAAAGGATGTAAACTAAGATATACGCCTGTCTCGAAACCACGCGATCATACCTTAATTTATTTATTTACTGGAGACATACACAAGATGCATCCACTGGATTAGATCTTCTTGAATAAAACTTATCAAATAGTTAAGTGTTGATTATGAAATATTTACATTTTAAAATGTTTTGTCCTTTTTACAGCTACAAATAGTAAATATACTTTATTTCTAAATTATATAAATCTATCAGTTCATCGATAGGCGTGGTTAAAAAAAATCACATGCTGAAAGACGTGGATCAAAATAATCTTCATGCTAGATTTCACAAAGGATTTTTTTGTAGCAGGTAATTTTTTTTAACATACTAAAAACAAAACTATGAATAATATACATTCACATTTTTTTTAATTTGATTTGAAGTAGAAATTTTAATAATTGCTTGCGTGATAATTTTTCATAAACGCCCACGACGTTTATGCAGGTACGAAGCTAATAATTTTTGAAAAACAATGGAAGAAAGCCAAACAAAAATAATACAGGTTATTACTTTGTATACTAGTGTTATTTACAGTTAATATTAATATTAATATTTTCTGTTTTAAATTATTAAAATATATATAGCTCTTTTCTTCTAAAACAGTCATATTTTGTAGCAAAATAATTTATAATAAAAGTTATAAAAAAAAATCAATATCAATCCTCTTGTAATTATTCACCTATTTCTGCAATGCACTTTAAACTTAGGAAATGATAAAACTTTATTTTTGTAATTTTTCCGAAGAATAATTAGATGAGCTACATATGCTTGTTATACCTTTAAAATTTGTTTTAAAGGTATTTTTTTTTTTTTTGCTCAAGAGCATAAAAAATATAAGGAATAAGTGTCAGATTTTTTGGTCTTTTGACGATGATGGACCGCTGTGTTCACAGAATGGGCGGAGTTTTATGCAAATTATGACAGACATAGCCAATGTTGAACACATCGGAATACAGAACAAAAATTAAATAGTTATTGTTAGAATAAAAAAAGAAATAAAATAAAAGGTATAGGATACAAAACATTTATTGAACAGTCATATTTTGTGGCAAAATAATTTATAATAAAAGTTATGAAAATGAAAAATATAATTCCTCTTGTAATTATTTACCTATTTCTGCAATGCAGTTTAAACTTAGGAAATGATAAAACTTTTTTATTGTAATTTTCCGAAGGAAAATTCGATGAGCTACAAATGAGTGTATATCGAGAGGGTTAGTCTAAGCAACGGCCACAGGAAAGCCTAATCCACAAAATAACAAAGTAAAACAATCAATAAAGAATGCAGAAAATAATCAAAGCCACGAAATCACGCACTTCATAAACAGCGTGGATTATTACATCTAAATTTTAATAATTAAAGAAATGTATCATGTGTATAGCATGACGTTTACGCAGGTTTCAGAAAACAGAAAGGAAATTAATTTTTATAAAGTATAATATGTTGAATCAAAAATTGTTCTAAATGGACTACGTTTTAACTCAATATCAATTTAAAATTTAATATTTTATTATTTGAAGAAAATGTACAGGAAAAGTCAATGTATGGTAATGCATAGGAAATTCGGACTAAATTTTTCATTTTTCATTTTTGTCATCTTTTTTTCTTCCTGAAGTCAGCAATGTTCAGGGCTGATATGGATTTGCAGGGCTGATAGGATCAATATTACACCTCTATTAAATTAAATCTTTAAAAAAAAAATAGTACTTGTTATCATATACATATATTTTATGGGTACATATTTTCCTAATTTTAAACTAAAAAATGTAAGGATAATCTACTTGAGAAATAAAAGATATTTTCAAATTACACATTTGAAATAGAAGTAGAAACAAACCCAAACCGTATAAGACAATAGACCGCGTGTACATGTAGGAAGTCCGTGCATGATTAGTCACTTATTTTATTCTCAAATTAATGTGTACTCTGGCTGATATTGGTGTCTCGGGCTGATACAGGGTGTGATATATGGAAAAGGGTAACTATGTATTATTCTCTCTATATATATTTCTAGGACCAAATAGCCCTAAGTCCTCAGATGCCCTCAGTTCTCCGTTCTAATTATGTCTCTGTCCTAGGAAGCTTAAGGTCTGAAAAAAGACAGTAAGAAATGGTTATCTAGAATCTACTTACCTTTAACTTATTGTTAAGTAAACCACGTTTTTAATGAAGTATATTTTGAATAGATTATTTTACTTCGATATAATCGTAATTCGTTATATTCATTAAGAATTCAATACATCTTGCAGTCAGGGGAGGGCTAATTGCCTCGATAGAAACGTCAATTCATTATAGGTGTGTTTCACAAATTAAAAGCTTGTTTTACAGTATATCGCATTTTATCAACGAGAACTTTATTTTTGCATAATTAGGAAAAACAGGAATGAAAAGATTTCATCTCACATCTAATAGAAGTTTTTCAAATAAACTGAGCAATGAGCCATATTTTGTGAAAATGTTGATCAATACCAAATAAAAATCGTGTGGAAAAATATGGTGGTATAAAAATTAAGTCATTTACAGTTGTTAAGACTACAGATCAATAGTAAAAGGTAACCTAACGTTATCAAATACAGCTTAATAAGAAACCAAGAGTCGATCAAAAACAATCGAAAATCACTATAATAAATTTTAAGTCACACCTTGATACCTTTTCACTCTTTTGATAGTCGTTATCCGCTTGGCGTAGTGGTTAGAGCGTCTGCTCTAAAGTCGCTAAGGATTTGATCCTTACGTCGCGGATTCGAATCCCACTGTGGGACGTGGGAACCGGTCCTTCGGATGAGAACGTATATAAACCGAGGTCCCGTGTCGCAGTAGATGCTGACACAAAAAATTCTTCCCTGCTCAATGGCCCATAGTGCCGAGTATAGAACAAAACTTGCAGCTCTTCATCAGCAAGTGGTGGCGTCTTAATATGAGTGAAAAATTCTCGAGAGTGACGTTAAACAATATACAATAAATCAATCAATTAATAGTCTGTATATAGCTCACTTGACATCACAGTGAGTGTGACATATTAAATCTATCACGGAGACACAACTATCTACCTTTTGACTCTGTCTAACGCCCGTCTGATCTCTGCCTCCGGTACTGCTGCTGTGTTTGACAGGCGACTGATGACCCCATTTAAAAAGTCGTCGGTGATTCCGGCACACAATCGTTCAGCGAATTCGAATGCATATCTTAGCTCGTCTACGACAATATCCGTCCTCTTTAGCACGAAGGCATTCCTGAGCTTGTCCACGGCCTCCGTCCTCTGTCCGCGACGTCCATAGTCTTCTCTGTACTCCTCCTTCAACTGTCAATAAGACAGTTGCACATTATTATATTATATATTATTACATACATGTATTTACCCTGTGAAATACTAGTAATATGTCCTTCAGACAGACCTGTTCTATTATAATTGTCCTTTAAAAGAGGTGTATAAAAAGTATCAAAATCTGAATTACCCACTCCTCCATGGCACTTGATCCCACCTCTGGTGTTTTGAAGGTCCATGTTTGCTCTGTTTCTATTTTGTATTGTTTCATGGACTTTTCATCAGGAATACCGGTCGTTATCTCCATATGTTTCAATGTGAGAAACAAGAGTCAACAACAAGTCCCTCAAGACAAATGTCTTTATACATATTATATACATGTTATACGGTGTATTGCCCTAGTCAAATTAATGTGAGTTGGTTTGTTTGTTTGCAATTCCTTAAAGTCCCTCTTTAGAATATTTTACTCATATGGTGACGCCACCACTTACCCGGTGGAGGGCTACAAGTTTTTGTTCTAAACTCGGCACACTTTATACGAGACCCGTGTCGCAGTAGGTGCTGGCACGAAAAAGATTCTCTCTCTCTCTATTTCTCTCTGCTAAATGGCCCTGAGTGCCGGGTTTAGAACAAAATTTGCAGCTCTCCACCGGCAAGTGGTGGCGTCTCTATATGAGTGAAAAATTCTTGAGAGTCCCTCTTTAGAATATTTTACTCATATGGTGACGCCACCACTTATCCGGTGGAGGGCTACAAGTTTTTGTTCTAAACTCGGCACACTTTATACGAGACCCGTGTCGCAGTAGGTGCTGGCACGAAAAAGATTCTCTCTCTCTCTATTTCTCTCTGCTAAATGGCCCTGAGTGCCTTGTTTAGAACAAAATTTGCAGCTCTCCACCGGCAAATGGTGGCGTCTCTATATGAGTGAAAAATTCTTGAGAGGGCCATTAAACAATATACAATCAATCACAAAGCTTAGATTACCATTGCCATTAACTTTTTCAAGTGTGATATCCAAATACGAAACAAATGTGTTTGGCTCTATAATATCTTTTATCTCAAGCTCACCGGGATATATAGTATGGACATAAGAATGAAAATAAGCTTTGTTAATTGACAATATACGTCAACGATATATATAAATGTCGAGTTGAAGGCTATAGCAAGTGTTTTCTTCTTTTCATGTATACGATTTTTTACAAAATCTGCTTCATTTGAATATAAAAATAGGTTTGCTAATAACAGGGCACAATTGGTACCCATGGGAATTCCTATAGATTGTTGGTCTCCAAAAACCACATAGATATTGTCAATCAGAAACTCAAGCATCTTTTTAATGTCAACATCAGAGTACTTTTGTGTACAATCAGAGTGTTTTTAGCAAAATAATTTTGCAAATGACCAAAAGAGCTAAGGTAATTGAATTTACGATTTCCATTTTTAGCTCTACTGGTCAGAGACTAGAAGAGCTTATGCGATAGCAATGCGTCCGTCGTCCGTCCGTCTATCTGTCTGTCTGTCTGTCTGTCCGTCTGTCTGTCTGTAAACAATTTTTCAAAATGCTACTCCTCCTACAGTTTTGGTCTGATTTCAATATAACTTGGCACACAAGTAGACTACACTAAGATACATAATTCTGTGTATCGGTTTTTGATTTCGATGAACGGTGTTGCCGTGGTTACTAATTATAAAAATAGAAATTTCTGTGAAATTCTTTCAAAATGCTACTCCTCCTACAGTTTTAGTCTGATTTCAATATAACTTGGCACACAAGTAGACTACACTAAGATACACAATTCTGTGTATCGGTTTTTGATTTCCGTGAACGGTGTTGCCGTGGTTACTAAAAATAGTAATTTCTGTGAAATTCTTTGAAAATGCTACTCCTTCTACAGTTTTAGTCTGATTTCAATATAACTTGGCACACAAGTAGACTACAATAAGATACATAATTCTGTATATCAGTTTTTGATTTCGATGAACGGTGTTGCCGTGGTTAATAAAAATAGAAATTTCTGTGAAATTCTTTCAAAATGCTACTCCAAATACAATTTTAGTCTGATTATAATATAAATGTGGCATGCAAGTAGACTGCACTAAGAACATAAAGAGACTTAATCAAGGATCATTATTCTATTTATTGCTGTTGAAAAGTTTCAATTTCCAACTGCTTAAGTACTTTTCTCTTCCTTTGCTATAAGTACAAACCAGTAGAGCTTCAGTCTCGACAGAGACTTCTGGTTATTGAAAAAGCAGCTGTTAATGATATCATAAAGACTTCTTTAATTTATCGTTTGGGATGGATGTATATAAAGTTGAAAAATCGTTAGTTTTTAAGCTGTTGATTTTGGTAAAATTTTCCAAAAGTTCCTTGCAATTTTAAAGTATCCACATCTGATTTACACCACATTTTGAATAGTTTGTTGCAAAGTACTCTTGAAGATTTTCCTTCACTACTGTCAATATCTTAGTGAGGAGTAAGGAATGAGGCTTTGTTGAACATTTACTTGGACCTGCTATGTATCTGTTTTCGTAACGATTTTTATTAAGTTTCGGAATCCAATATGGAAATCGTAATTCAAATTCATTTCTGCTGTTTGGAATGTTAAAATGATTCAAAATTGACATATCATTTATTTTGAAGAATTGCTTCCTTAGCTTAGAAAGGGAATTATGGGTAAAAGTCGAATTATCACTTGTAGAATTAAATCCAAGTTCCTCTAAAATACATGAACCTTACAAAAAACGACAATGGTGTTACTTGAAATTATCTAGACCTGTTTAAAAGATTTATTATTCATCGTTTAAAGTCATCGTTTCGTACGTTCTATGGTCGAAATATGAATTTGTCAGCAAATACAATTTCTTATTGAGTCAAATTCTGACTGACGTTTTTCATACTAATTGCTAGTCCATTTTTTATAAAATGAATTGACGACGGATTTTTCCGTCAATTTCCGATCATGACAAGGAGCACACGGTGGGTGTGACCGGTCGGCATTGGATGCTCACTCCTCCATGGCACCTGATCTCACCTCCCATGTTTCGGATGTCCATGTTTGCTCTGTTCCTATTTTGTATTGTTTAATGGACTTTGGATCTTGAATACAGTTGGTAATCTCCATATGTTTTATTTAGACAGACCTTCTAATGAGGTGTTTGGATTATTGAAATATACCTGTAGTAATAAAGGTCCCATCGTGGAGGTGAGGGAGGGGGACTTTCGTGATGACATGGATCTCTTCGGGACCGGGGGGACAGGCTCGAGCTGCTGAAATAAAAAAAAGATATCCTACATAAACCCTAAAAACTTACATAAGTTTTATTGAAAATGACAGAAAATGGTAACAAATACATAAAATGATCTAGGCCTACCAAAATAACACGAATTATTAAGATTTAAATTGTCAAATATTTCAGAGAAGAACAGTTTTTAGAACAGTCGATCCTTTAGAAGGCTATATAGAAATTGTCCAATATAGGTCAACTTAGCATTCAATAGTTATAGGAATCGCAGTACTGTACAATCCAACGTACGTGTAGTGACTACTTTATATACATGTAAATAATTGGTGTATTTACTTATCAGAGTGTGAAATATTCTCATGTTATTCCTGTACAAGAAATATTCTTGAATTTCATGATATTCATTTACTGACAAATATATCTGTCTTGGAATTATATATTTTATTGCATATTTATGTAGGTAATGTTTCCAATTTATGTTTGGCGATGGATTTCAAACTAACCAATCTGCATTTACCATCTGGTTATGATGCTGTGAATAGTGCAATATGGATAAATATCAATATAATTAATAGAATCCACTTTTTCCGTGTCGTGGTGACTCAGGTAGGCAGGGGTGTGACTAGAGTTTGGCATATGGATAAATTCTTGTCTAAGTTCTTTCAAGTCATTTTCTAATTTTGTTTTTTAACCTACCTTTTGTAGAACGTTTGATACATCATGTCCTTTGTGTTCAATATTGGATAGGCAAATAGAACAGACAGGAATATTACATTTGTTACAGTGAAATTCACAACGATTCTGGGTGTGGTTTGGACATTTAGGGAAGTGAGGAGCAGAGACTCTTTGTGTGTAAGGTACAACATTGTGTCTTTTAGATGAATCAGAGAAATGCTCCCCTACACAGGCCTTACACAGGTTAATTTGACAAAGTTCACAATGGCTCTGTAATTCAGCCATTTGACACAGATCACAGAGAAGGGCTACTTGAGCGCTGCAAAGGTGGTCCATATCGGGTTTCTCTGTCGCGTGATGAAGGCGATGCTGTAAAATATTTTATTGAGGTAATATTATTTATTTTCAATATTTTATTCAAGTCATTTGAAATGTAATATATATGTACTGCAAAGATATTTTATTTCAAAATTGAAAGTGATTTTTAAAACTGTTTCATGAAGGTGTTTTATATTTCATAAAAAATTAAATAAAATAAAATTAATATTTTTACAAATTTATAGTATAAAATTATTTTTTTTATATTTTGCGCTTTGAGATTTATATGTTAATGTACCATTTTAATGGCATCATATGTTATAATAACTTTATGCTGAACTATTTTGATTCGTGGATTTGTTTGTCCTTTTAATTTGTTTTATTAAACATCAAGTATTTGGGATTTTAATTTTTGATGCAGACGGACTTTTTAACGTCTATTTATTTGAGATTCATTGAAGAACAACTACATCCACAGAAATATTCTGATTTTTGCAATTCAAATATACATCCTTATAACCTCCAAATCAGCAAAAAATGAAAATAAAAATATTTAGTGTAGTACTACTTTCTTAAAAATTCATCTTGAACGTCATCTTTTCAAGACAAATTAAAACTTTTAATCAAGTGAAATTTTACACCAAGAAGGTCAAGTACGTCCACAGAAATATTAATTGAATAAAATTTTAAATTCTTAGGTCTCACCTGCAAATCTAAGATGGCTCCCAAACTATTGTACATGGATACCGACTATTCAGTTCCTGGTCTTGATTCTAAATTTTAACCTACTGTCAGGTCTTATGATTTAGATGCCATGTCAGAGTTATTTAGATTATTGATATTCTTAACAAAGTCACAGGCATCTTCGTCATCCCCCTTTCTAATTTCATTGTGATCGACAAAGTTTTTCCTATTTATGCATTACTTGATACCAACAATCTAACTTTTTCGCCTCTTTCAGCTATTCTCTCTCCTTTTCAACGGATACATTTGAAAAAAAAAATTAGGGGTGTAAGAAGGCCCGTCCAGTTTTCCCTAATTGGGACACTGTATATTTACACTCTATAAGAGAATCAATACTGGGAGCCCAATCTGATAATTCATAGCCTGTGTTATGTGCAGAACGATTTGCAAAGGAATATTGGGTGTTTTCAAAATGTTGGCTATACGTGTGAAGACATCCTGTTCACAGAAGCTTAAAGGTTTTCGGAGTCTTTTATTTCTTACCATACAGTATTTTTTATATAAAATGACCAAATCTAGGCAATAAGATTGTTGGATAAATGTATCCTTTACTAGAATTAGCATGGTGACCATCATAACACGACTCTACTTTGGATGCGCCTTTTTAGCTCACCTGAGCCGAAGGCTCAAGTGAGCTTTTCTGATCACATTTTGTCCGGCGTCCGTCTGTCTGTCCGTCTGTCTGTCTGTCTAGCTGTCCGTCTGTCTGTAAACTTTTCACATTTTGAAACCGCTGGGCCAATTTCAATCAAACTTGGCACAAAGTATCCTTGGGTAAAGGGGATTCAAGTTTGTTCAAATGAAGGGCCACACCCTTTTCCAAGGGGAGATAATTATGAATTAGAGAAAAATTAATGGCATTTTTAAAAAATTTCAAGAACCACTGTGAAACTCATGTGGAATCATCTTCAGGTAGTGTAGATTCAAGTTTTGAAATATTTAATATTTCATAAAGCCCGAAGGGCTTTGTAGACTTGATCATGTGCCAACCCGTTTTACATATCAATTCAAAAAATTACCTTATACTTATATTTACATTTGACACTTATTCATATTTTATATTTGCCTGATTGTTACTTTTTTGAAATGCGTTTATTTTTCAAACCCAACGGCATGTATGTAATCCACTTACCCTTTATTCACAGAGAAATTACTCGAACAATTATCTAAACGCACATCTATTTAACCACCTGTATTTACACAGTTATAAAAACAAGTGTTATATAAAGGAAAACATTTGCAAATGTAAATATATAGGAATATATACGAAAAATCTTTAAAAATCTTCTTCTCCAGAACCAATTGGCCAGGAAAGATGAAACTCATGTGGAATCATCCTCAGGTAGTGTAAATTCAAGTTTGTTAACATACCCCCGGGGCTACAAAATGAAGTTTTACATAGGAATATATAAGAAAAATCTTTAAAAAATCTTCTTCTCCAGAACCACTTGGCCAGGAAAGATGAAACTCTTGTAAAGGTAGTGTAGATTCAAGTTTGTTCAAATCATGACCCCTGGGGCTAGGGTGGGGCCAAAATGACCGACCCAAGTTTTACATAGGAATATATACGAAAAATCTTTAAAAATCTTCTTCTCATGAACCACTGGGCCAGGAAAGCTGAAATTCATGTGAAATCATCCTCAGGTAGTGTAGATTCAAGTTTGTTCAAATCATGACCCCCGGGGCTAGGGTGGGGCCAAAATGGCCGACCCAGTTTTTAGGAATATAGAGGAAAAATCTTTAAAAATCTTCTTCTCAAGAACCACTGGGCCAGGAAAGATGAAACTCATGTGGAATCATCCTCAGGTAGTGTAGATTCAAATTTGTTCAAATCATGACCCCCGGGGCTAGGGTGGGGCCAAAATGGTCAGTTTTACATAGTAATATATAAAAAATCTTTAAAAATCATGAACCACTGGGCCAGGAAAGCTGAAACTCATGTAATCATTATTTAACATATGACCCCCAGGGCTTTTTATAGACCCAAGTTTTACATAGGAATATATAGGAAAAATCTTTAAAAATCTTCTTCTCATGAACCACTTGGCCAGGAAAGATGAAACTCATGGAATTTATCAGGTAATGTAGATTCAAGTTTGTTCAAATCATCGGGGCTAGGGTGGGGCCAAATGGCTGACCCAAATTTTACAAAGGTATATATAGGGAAACCTTTTAAAATCTTCTTTTCAAGTACTTCAAAGCTATGATTAGTGATATTTATACGGAATCATCCTCAGGTAGTGTAGATTCTATTTTGTTCAAATGATGAATGCCGGGGGGGGGGGGGGGGGGAAATTCAAGCCCGATGTGCTTAGGTGAGCGCTGTGGCCCCTGGGCCTCTTGTTTTATCATATGTTCTTTGTTTGAAATCTAAAGTAAATATTATTTCCGAGATTCGATACATGCAATTATTTTGTTGTTGAAATATTTAATATTGCTTACTGTAACTTGGTGTTCTTCTATAACAAATTGTTTTTTCCGATCTTACTTTCACTAGGTACTCGAACAATTATCATATTTAACCACCCCCATTCCATCACTAAAACAATTTATTCAATTAATGATGAAACTTCTAGGAAGTCCTTTGTTTTAATTAACAGTGTACAAATTATTTTATGCTACTGTAAAGGAGTTTCATAGATAAACGTTTAATATTACAGCCGTTCTTTCTTCATGACTCAGTCAACCATTTTTTTTATCCCAAGTCAGCTACATATTGGCGCCATTTTCATAAAAATAATCATAAACAAGAGGATAAACATTATTTAACATATGCTTTTTATAGAATATGTTTGTGACTTTATATGTACCATATTTTATTTTGATCTGATCATCCCTCGTATTAATATATCAATTTTTGCTTAATTAACACGAGACATTTAGCAAAAATCTTGCATGCGAGGGGATTTTCACCCATTGATTGTAGATATTCAGGGATATATAACATTTTATCAAATCATTTCAGAAAACTTAAAATTTTTAAAAGTTTAGTGCACGTGCTTGTTATTTTTAAATATATACTAGTAGTATTCAGAATACGAAAGTTTTAAAATTTCTTACTTAATTCCTTTTAATGAACTGAGAAGGTATCATACTTACTGAATTTATTAAGGTCTGGGAACTCTGAAATGGTGATGAGATTTATTAATCGTCCAACAACGCCGGAATCATGCATTCAAATTTTAAGATAATTTTCTGAACAAATTTAAAGTTTCTTCTTTGCAGTGAGAAGTACTTTCCATTCATTAAATGGGTCTTTAAATAAATTAACAAACAGCACATCGAAGGAATATTTTTTTGCAATGTTACCTTCATCTATCCACACCTGACTCTTGAGGCATTTATGATATAAATGCCTCACGAGTCAGGTGTGGAAAGTATTTCTCACTGCAAAGAAGAACTTGCATTGCAAATCGAATCAACTGGGAGACATGTCGAGTGAACTCCACATGCAGGTGATGAAGGTATTTTGCTACATAAGAAAGGGAAGTTGACGATATAGAAGTTTATGTCCATCATTCATAAAGATTGGTTGTTAGATTACCGCTAAGGTCTTTTTCAAGTAAAATACAGATGCGTCAGACTCTATGGTACCTTTTATCACAAGCTCACTGAGATACAATTATATATATCGCATCGACCTAAAACAGAAATAATTAAGGGGGCCGACTATGGTTTTTATTGCGCAATATTTCGCGCTTCGTAGTAAAATGAAGCGTATTTACTGTTTTAATGCAACTTTTTTCGCTTAATTGATAAAATTAAACAAAATTAAGAACTTACAGGTTTAAAAATTTATTTACAATTTCATATAACTGATTTTTTAACCGATTTTGCAATTGATAAGTGGTTGACGTCGTTACTGTGTGCTTTTGACGTTATGGTAAACTGAAGCTCTCAAAGAAAGGCGTAATAAAAATGTTATAGAATACAAAGTAAAAAAATACGCTCTTGAAATTAAAAAACATAGAAATTTAAGAATATCTCCATTATTTTTAATATGATTTCATATAAATTCTTTGCTTTCGTCATATTTTGTAGTACTCTATAAAAATAGGGAAAATCGTTAATTTTTGGTATTTTGAGATGTCCCTTCTGGTAACAAGACAGTAGAATTTTGTGTTTCTTACATATAATGTGCAATATAGTAATAACTATCAAATATTATAATTTGAACAAAAAGACTATTGTAGTATTTGTATAATTTGCTTTAAAGTGCTAAAAATTGGCATTTACCTGTGTAATCCTATAGTAAATGTACCTGTATTTTGGGA